AATCACTCATAGCTATTATTTAAAATGAAAAAGAACATTTTTAAAATGCTGTAAATATTTATAAGTAAATCCTAGAAGAAAATAAATTAAATAGTAAAACTGTTTTTAATAGTGTCCTTTATTTGAAATTTATAATTGTCTAAATTGACGATAAGTATATATAATCTAAAGCTGTTTATTTCAGAACTATTTCCAAGAAGCATTTGATTCCAGAGTATTTCGGAAAAAATTTGGGTTTACTTATTGTAGCCTATTTTTTCATTTATATAACACACAACCTAACAGTAGGAACTGTTTGTTTGTTTGCCACTTATTCAGTAAAGTCAGTTCATCTGTTTTCAATCAGTAGTGGTATAGAGAAAACACTGCTTCTATTTACTAGAAAAAATAAACCAGCATAGAATTGCTCAGTTCCCGGCAACATTTAAAAATTTGGTGGCGTCGTCTGTTATTTTATTGAAAAACTATTTTCTAATATCATAGTTAAAAATATAAAAACAGTTTAATTTGGAGGGTAGGGATGGGTTTTATAAAAAATGTAAATGCTAATAACGAGTAAAATCGTCATTAAGGTCCGACCCTACTGGAGATACACACGATTGTCTCCCCATTGTCTCCCCCACCCCCTCGACTTTTAATCACCAAAATTTAACAGCATCAATCCACCTAATAGACAAACCTCCCTCCAAAATTTCATAAAGTTTCTACAAAAAGCATAGGAGTTATTAAGCTTCAAGGAGGGTGAACAAAATCGTGCCCCCACATAGTAACATCCATACATACAGAAATTACTTCCGAATTATTTTGTGAATTTTAATGTGTTCACCATACTTTCTGTTATATATAACAGAGAAAACTAAAAATGTCGACACACCCGCTTACAACAAAGTAATCTATATATATATAAATGAATGTATGTGTGTGTGTGTGTGCGTCTGTTAAATAATGAAAATTATAAAGGATTTTAAAAAATATATAAAAATGAGGAATATCGCACTTCTGACAATCGCTGCTAGTGTGTGGGCTAAATTTCGAGAATCCGTGCTTCTCGCATGGATAACTGTATGTGGCCAACTCACGCGTCAAAAAACCTTCCGATTTATTCGTGTACGCACCAGACAGAAAAACAAAAAATATCGTGTATCCACAAGCACTCAAATAAATAAATAGAATTGAAACGACACTTTGAAATGTTTTTTCCCGATGAAAATGAATAATAATAATGTTTCAATAAAAATGATAAAATGTAAATTTAATTTTATCATAACGAGTTTGCTTGAATTTCGCTTCTTCTGAGATCGCAGCAATGCGCGACGGGTAAGCTAGTTTTTCATGAAGTAGGCATTCCATCCGATCCATATTGTCTTTATTCCTTACATAACAGATCTGTGTGACAATGATAGACGAAAATGTGATGTCTGATACATGTAAACTCGCCGACTGGTGGAGATTGGGGATTTAAAATCCCGCGTCAGGATGAACCTAAGGAATGTTCGCAAGTGGGTGTGGCGGAGGAGACACATGATGACAAGTGTCTTTCAAAGTTAAAAGCCGTTTATTTTGTAACATTTATGCTTACATCAATGTTTGACAGTTCCAAATCTCGGTGTTCCTTCGGAGCGGCAAGAGTTCGTTCTATCGGTCGTAGCCACGAGGCGAACGAGATGGGATCGTTGGACAGATGCGGATGATGGGCGAAGATACTGTGGCGTCCTAAGTCGTCAGGGAGACAACACAATTTAAAGAGCACTACTTTGAGTTTAATCCAGAGGAAGACTGTCTTTCGACCTTGAATTTCCGATTTTTATAGTATTTCTGGTTGGCCCCTAGTCCCCTTTCTCACTTCCCGATTGGTCTCTCCTTTGTTTCCAGGTGAAAACCGAGATCTGATCGGGTCACGAGAAAGGTCCGATTCGAGGTGTCTATTCGACACCTTTTCGTCGACTATGCCCGGAGATTGTTGATAGAACCATAAAACTTGCGCTCATAATTTGCCCGTGTTCTGTCATTTTGGAACTTTAACACGACGTTTTTCTATCCATCAAATCTTTCCCCCTTTCCGAAATTGTTTTCCTAGTTTGACTGTTTATGAGCGCTTGGCTCAGAGTTCTACCTTTCGGTTTGTCATTGACAGATCGTTTAACACGTATTGGAGTCGTTACGGGATTCGTTGTTTTATTTTGTGCCGCATTGTTTAGATAAAGGGTTTGTTTCTTTCTCTCTTATATAACTAACATCACCCTTCGATCCAACTCGACAATAGCGTTTTCGCTTCCAACATGCAAAAATTAAATTTTATTTCGATCCGTTCTGGAACCTCACATACACGTGTGTTGCAGTTGTTTCTTCCAGAGATTATTAGATGTAGCCAACGTTGTGTACGAAAATTGAGTTTCAAGATTTTATCTGGACACGCAATTAATAAAAAGCGTATATTAAACACTGAATTATTAAATACATCTAGTAGACTTAAGTGTATTTCACCAACATTGCCTAATCGCAATATTTGCATATCCAACGATATACAAATACTGGCGAGGATTTCATCAACAAATTTCAGCGAAGGATTAGTAAATAATCTTGACACTAGTTCTAATCTTAATTGGATATTTTGGAAACACGTAATACGCGCTTATATACAAACATGCAGAAAGCAAGAAACGAAGTCGACCTTCGAATTTTTTTTTCGAGAAACAATATTTTACATATTTTATATCTCATTTCATGATCACAGTTCCAGTTGCGTAGAAGCGTAAACTAATCAGTAGCTGCAGTAGAGGTGATATGTTTTTTGCTTGTAGTCCTATTAGGCTATATGACGGCAAGAAGTCTGATTTCGTCACGAACAGTACAGCAGTCCTTTTAGACAGAGTATAGCTTTCAATAAACAGTTAATCGTCTAATACGATTGAATTCGTCATGACTTAATCGTCTTGGAATTCAAAAGTATTTTTTTATATTTTGCTTTTATATATGCACTCCGCAAATTAAGATAAATCTTTCGCCATATTTGCCGAGAGTAGCGCATTAATCGCTCGAATTTGGTGGGTTAGTTACTAATGCTAGATTATGTCTAATCTTAAAATGGTGGAACGCAAAATCCGTAATCCTGTATTTAAGATAGCTGTTAATCCTGCGATTTCTCGGATCATCTGTTGGTGAAAAAGGGGTTAAGTACAACAACAAATTCTTGAAGGTTGAAATAAATGCTACACAAATAGATAAAATAGTGAAAAACTTACTATCTACACAAAAAACTTGTTGCAAAGAAAAAGAACTCGTAACGTACCAACGCTTGTCGTCGGCCTTCACACCCGGGCGAATGAAAGGAGTGACAAGTTAGTAAAAGCCGCTCGGATAACGTGGTGTCGTGGTCAGTTGCGCGCTTGAGACCGCCAAATTCGAATTATGTTGCCTATGTCATTTTGTACGTATTTCCCCTACAACAGAACATTTTTTTTTTTTGAAGAATTGTTAGATCGTGGGGAATTCCCTCAAGTGATGATTTTAACTACTAAATGCAATCTACTGTATAAATGCTGCAATGGAAGTATATTTCTCTATTCAACTTTTCTTCTTAATTAGTAGTAACGACTGAACATTATTCATGACAGATGTTCAATTGTAGCATTGGCAATATTTGAGAACTATTTTCAGTATCTGTTATAGTGGATGTGAATGTGTTTTCCTTTGATCGTGAAGATACAAACAGAAACAGGCGACAAGTTCCTTAGTTCCATGGTTTTGAATATTCAAGGCATTTACATTTCTTTAACTAATCCATTTTGAAACTTTTGTAGTTCTACTTTGAGGGAAATACGAAGCTTTGTGTTAAAATAAGCCGCCTTCTTGCAATATTCGTGGACTCATCAGTGGAAGATACTGCCTCTGTATTTGTTTATGTACAGTAATAGGCCTATTAGTCGTAGTAAATGTTGATCATGATGGTAGTGTCGTTTTTTATCGTAGTTTAAAAATAAATTTATCCATTATTGTACAGTACAGTACAATAAATGTTAAATAATACTGCAACAGTTTTCATTTACAGTTGCATTTTGTACGAATCACTGTTTATAAATAAAATAACGCTAATGTTTGGCAGCTTGGTGGCGATGGCTCACATTCGTACTCGTTCATATCTATCACTAGGATGACGATACATGTTATCGGGCGCGATAATCAATCATATTTAAATGATTTGGTGGCTTTCTCATATCAGTTTGTCAAAACTGCTGAAAACGAACAATGCATAATATTAATTAAATAATAATATAATATAACAGTATTAAATAATATACGTATTGTATAGTACATAACGGTATACTAATAATCAAAATTTAAGCACTAAACATTGATTATTTATAATTTTTCGGATAATTAAATAGGCCGTGTAAACAGAATTTTGTGATTTAGAATAATGCACAGTTGCTCAAAATTTTTAGGGGTGGCTGAGTCTCCTCTTGTCCTCCTCCCAGCTACTGTCCTGTACCATACGTACTGTACTGTATATACACACACAAACGTGGCCGTTCAATAATTACGTGTACAGTTTCTGAGCCACTTTTTACCCCATCCCCATCTGTCGTACAGGACAGAGGGATGGGTGCGTTACTTTTCGTTAAACTGTACACGTAAATAAGGCGGTTTAATGGCCACTATACAGAATTTTCTAAAGGTGTTTTATTTTCCAATTTTGGGCTCATGGAGTATCAAAAATATTTTTTTCTTTTAATCTTTCTAATTATCTTTTAAGTGCTATGATTTTAACGATATTTGAAGAGAATTCTGTGTAATCACAAATATTTGTAAATTATATATTCAATTTATTAATTAAAATACTTTCAATAATTAAATAAAGTAGTTATTCATTAAAAATTTATTGAATACTATTTGTTTAGAAATACTAAAGATCTTTATTCTGATACTGAAAATATTTGCTTTAACATATTTATTTTTAGATTATAGTTTAAAAAATGGAAGAAGAAAAAGAAAATAAATTTATTTGTGATATTTGTAATAAAATATTCAATGGAAAAATTATCTATTCTCAACATCTTCAAAGCAATAAACATTTGAAGAACGAGATGAAGAACTATGGTAATTCATCTTTAGAAGAGGAAGAAATCTACCAGTGTGATATATGTGTCAAAGTTTTCTCTGGTCCCATTCCTTTTCGCCAACATTTGTTTAGTTCTGCTCATATTAAAGAAGAATTAAAAAGAAATAAAAGGAAAGAAGATTATGAATCAAGATGCATTCGCGCAGAGGATCAGCCAGAGGAATGTTCTGCTGGAAAAGCAACGAATGAGACACGCAGCGAAGAAAATATTGAAGGTTGTGATTTATGCGGAATTTTTAAATTTACCAATTTACAATCTTTAATTCAGCATTTAAATACCGAAGACCACATTAAGAAGAAATACATGAAATTGAATTAAATTAAATAGCTTATACAAAGTATTGCTATGAATGGTTTATATGTAGCTATCACTACACTATTTTATGCACATTTTAAAATATTTTTCTGTATTATAAAAATAATTTCAAAATATTGAAGAACCATTTTTTTGTAATGTTTTAATATTAAAAAAATTAAAATATTTCATCACAAACGTTTCATCAAAATGTTTAAAAAAAATTTTAAACCTTTTTAAAAACCGCAATAAATCTCTCAAATCTAAATCGTGTTTGAAAGGATTGAAGATAGAGAAGAAAAAATTTTATTAATGAGCGAAACGTTTTTATAAAAAATAAATAGTAACGAGTTACATAACTTTCCCAACAAAAACATTAAAATTGCGTGTTGCGCCATCTGTTACGATATTTTATTTTAAAAACTTCGAAAATAAATAACGATCGAATCAGTCGTTACATCTTGTTATTATTTTACCAATATTAAAGTGTGATAAGTTAGGGATAGAGACGTTTCAAATTTTTAAGTAATTTAGATAATGTCGATTCTTTCTTTTCGAATCACGTGGGTATAACGATCCCATCGACTGGGACAGCCGAATTCTACCCGATTGGTTGATCTTTTACGCGCAGTTTACGTGTCACTCTGTCATTGGCTAGACTTTAAGCGTCACTTTTGCTACAGAGATCTTAACAAACGATTAACTCCCAGGTGTGAAAGTTGACAGTTATCTGACAAAATTTTATTGTCAAAATGTTATAATTTAATTATGTAAATAAATTACATAGTGCTGAGTCTCACATAGACATAAATTCCCACTGTCGTCCGTCCTTAATCTCGAGAACGATGTTACATATATGAAACTCGAGACCAGATATGGAAACCTTAGGAGGAAAGGACCCGATTAATTATATATGAACTTCCGACGCAAACCGGAAGTCACGTTATTTCAATTCAAAATTTTTCTCCCGAAAGCAGTTAATAGATTACCGGTATGACTCTATTGTTAAAGGGAAAATATGATTTACAGGGGCAAGACTACAAATTTGAGATGGAGAGCATACTTTTTAAATTAAAGTTAAAGATTATCCTTTGAAAAATTTCCGCATACGTTTAAATTTTTACATAGACACCTTACTTAACTTATAAATGAACGATTTTTCCATAAAAAGATTAATACTGTAATATTTTAGAACGGAATGCTCTAACTTAAGATTAAGATTATAAGATGGAATTATGAATAAAATATAAGGAAAGTTAAAAGTTGATATTTTTCAGGGGCGTGCCGTGACATTTGACTATAGGGAAGCTGTGTTTCTGTAAGCCGACATCCAGGGGCAATCAGTCAATTGCGCGTCAGTGATGGTCTAGGGTCCATTCGTATCGTTTATTCGATAAGCCAGTAAAAACCGTAGACTTCTCTAAATGCATTTTTAATATCACAATTACATTCCGAATCGCTAGCCACGATATAAGGGCTACAATTAAAAATAAAATAATAAAAACTTACTCGGTGAAATAAAATATGTGGTGGATGTACCGGTACATACAAAATATTCTTCAATTATATGAATATACTTTAAAGAAAATTATAATTAAATATAGCTTTGCAAAGAAACGTACATAAAAATATAAAATATTCTTTACTTTTTAAATCTTAAAACAATGCACTTAGTCAAGTAGCTCCCTACGAGTGGCTAATGAATGGAATCGAAGACGGTTGCAGAGCGTGCATGCACGCACTGCCAAATCCCCAGGGTGCCGATACCGGTCAATTCAAATACCTCTTTTGTCGCATCATTAGTATATCTGAAAGGACGCGACAGGGCTGTTGTAGATTTTAAACGTTTCTCACCATAGCTGTAAAAATCTAAATACTCGTATGTTAAACATAATAGTCATTTGTTTTCTAACTAATTCGTTTTAGGACCAGGTGTTGTCCACGGAAATTTCCAAAATTTACAACTTTTCGGTCACTCTCGTCGAACTGGAAAAATTTCTGTCTTTATTACATCTAATACAGTATTTCAAAGAAATCAGTCCCCACTGTACTCGGCTATAGATTGGGTCGGTTAAGCTTTTGTTTAAGTAATATTCCGGCTCTTTCATCGGTGTTTTGTTTATGTCCCCAATTCCCTAATCGCTTAATTATTTAACTAATTCTTAAGTAGAAATAAGTCGAAACCAGTTATTTTGTACTCGAATATTTGTAGTCTCG